ACCACTTAAGTGATATAAACATTTTTTGCAGCAGCAAATGGTAAAATGAATTTATCATTGTCATATATCACATGTTACTAGTATATCAACACAAATATGGTTCCTTACAAATTCCAAAACGGGACCTCTTGCCCATTTGCGAACATAATTTACAGACTTCATGGGCGCCTCGCATACCCGTTGTTTAACGATCTATGGTTGGGTATTCTATTTCCATTTTTCAACACCATTCTTCTCTAACACATACACACTATGCAATTTATTTGGATTTTGTCCAAACTCACAAAATAAGATACAAGATCGTAAAAAATGACGCTGTCCAGTAGTGCATAGTGTGCGAATCAGTAATGGTAGCGATCATTATAACAACCTTTGGCCATAGTACGTGTACATTATAGTTAATCAGTAATTGCCATTCAAAGTCAGTTCAACAGAAGAAACACGTGATAGATCATGCCGTGTCCGTTACAAAGATAGCATCATGCGACGGTCTAAAGGTTGACCAATCTGATTAAAATCTGATGTAGTGTACGGGCTTTAATTATTTTGGTATAAACTTGTTTTAATTTTATTTTTTATTACTTTTGTTATTATTGACTTTTTATTTTATTATGATTTTGATTTTTTTTAATTCCGCCCTACATACATCTGACTCGATGCCTACGTAAGAAGATTTCAACGAGACCCACTATCGACGATTTTAGTCAACGAATCACAGACCTTCTTCTTTAGCGCACATGATGACTTCACCGGGCGAGTCAGGTGGCAAACACACTCAAATAAAATGGCGGATTATACCGACGTTAGCGACCGAGAAAAACACTGTGAAATGCAACGAAAGTCATTTTTTATGTTTATATTGTGGCTCGAATGGTTCGACTTTAGTTCGTTATTTTGCGTAGTTATTCCAGGAGTGACGATTTTGTTTCCACCGGTTCGACCGAACACCAGTGTCTTTTTCCAGTCGTTTGCCCTGGAGACGGGTGATATTTTGTTGACGGTCGGGCCAAAATCTTCTACGGTATTGAAGCCGTAGCTGTAAATATTCATCAAAATGTATCAACATTTTGTACATTATACAATAACTCTTTATTAAAGTAATTGAGCTGATTTGGACTGGAATAAAATATTTTTTATTTGGAACACATCGCAATTGATCAGGAAATATTTTTTGCTCCAATTTTCTGCATCGATGCCGTGGGCCAGTGACCGTTATACAATTTAAAATCAGTTTGTATTGTTTACTATAGCTGTTTACAGTGTTCTAATCATTACGATTTACTTATTTTTTTGCTTCCATTCTAGATAATTATGCTCAATGTTTGATGTAAAATTGAAGCGATGACTGAATAAACGAACCTTGGCTGGCGAAGATGTATCAGGAAGTGTACACATTTGTTGGAAGTGAAAAAAATATCCAATATAATGACAAAAATTGTAAAATGCTGTGGAATTTCTTTTGTAAATAAAAATATACTAGCAATTTTCTATTAATGGTTTATTCAAGTGGGCAAAATATAATGTACAGAAAGATTGCCCGTAGAGTATCGCTACACTGAAAAGTAAGCAGCCGACAGCCTGTATAAAAAGGGGGCTGTGATTGGTTGTTACTTATGCGAGATTTGAACGGGACTTACATAGGCGTCGGATTAGGTGTATGTAGGGCGGAATTAAAAAAAAATCACAAAATCAAAATTTAAGTAAAATAATAAAGTAAAAAGGCATTAATAACAAAAGTAATAAAACAATAAAATTAAAATAAAATAATAGCCCGTACACTACATCAGATTTTAATCAGATTGAAGGTTGGCATAACACACATCTTAACTATAGGTCTCCCACCACTAATTCAGTTTTCACAGACAAAGGCAATCTGATTAAAATCTGATGTAGTGTAGGGCTTTAATTATTTTGGCTATAAACTTATTTAGCCATTTTAAGCATTTCATTTGCAATGCCATCTTTTCCTGCAGACTTATTATTTTTTCAATTTGTATTGCATTAATAACTTCAGACTTTTTAATCTCTTCATTCAACACTGCATTGTAGTTTTTTAAGTTCTCCTTTGCTAATAAGTCTTGGTCAATTTTATTATTATTTATGTTATTATTAGTATTATATAGCTTATTAAAGTGATCCATACAATTTTCATTTGTTATAATGGCATAAGATTTTCTATTTTCTGCATTTCTCAAACGTTCTAGTACTGACCAATACTCTAATTGTTGTCCACCCATAACTGTCTTATTGTATTTTCTTTAAATTCTTTTTTCTTATTTTTGATTATTTTTTTGTAATGTTTTTTTAATGTATAGTAAGTATGTTTAACAATACAATTGTTTGGCTGATGAGATAATGGTTTTGCCAGTTTTATAAGTTCTCTTCTGACTTCATTGCATGATTTATCAAACCAAGGCTTTTTTATATTTTTTGTTTCTCTTTTTATTTTTACTTTGTTTGACCTTTTTTAAGCTATTGTCAGCAATATTTAGTAGAATGGTTTTTAATTTCTCCGTTGTTTCGTTCACATCCATGCTTTCTGTATTACAATTAAGAAATGTATAAAAACTATTTTCAACATTTTGATTTTGTGAAATATTTATTATTATTATTATTATTATTATTATTATTAAAAATATTATTATAAATGATTTTGTATAATAAGATTTACAATTTACAGAATAAAGCATTACATATAGTGTTAGATTATGGTTTCAACTTTGAGGTTGACTCATTTCGAATGACAATTTCTTGAACGAACATGGAATATCGCGGTTAGAATTTTTGCTTAGGTCATCGTGATTATATAAAACAAGGAGACAACAAACCTATTGTCTAGCCAACAACCAATCATTTCTACGAGCAGTCGTAAACATATTAGAGGGTAAAGTGGCATGACTCGACATTATTTTATCTGTGAACAGTAAGTCTACTGCTTTGGCGACACAGCGTGTACATGTGTTAAGAATGACAGCACAAACTGTGAAACTCTGGAATGGAGCTGAAATTCCATTGGTGGGGCTTGGTACTTGGGGCGGATGGGAGGTGAGCGTGACATTTGCTTATAATAGTAATGCGATTCTGGGGCTGTACAGGCTTAATTTTAAATTTTAAAATCGTTTTACTATCGCGTGAAACATGGAATTCTATAATGTGTGATGTAGCAGTAGGGATTACTATAAATCTATAAACTTGATTAACAGGCAAAACCAGGTGAAATATTAAAAGCAGTGGAGACGGCGATCGATGTAGGATACCGTCATATTGATACAGCATATGTGTATGGAGTGGAACATGAGGTCGGCGATGCCATAAACTCTAAACTCAAGGACGGTGCAGTAAAACGAGAAGAGCTGTTTGTGGTCAGCAAGGTAATAAATAAATAAATGAATGAATATATACTGATGAAATATATCAGTCATGGTGCTGCCTTGGTCGGCTGTGAGTGACCACGCCATTATCGTGTCATCTCTCGCACATAGACACTCATCATAGGCGTTGTGAGGATTCTCATGGGTGAGGCCTGTATTTAAACAATGTAAAGCGTTACGGTATCTGCACAGTGATATCAACAACAGTGGAAAACACCAGTGGATATGGCAAGTCAGGTCATACTGTAAATGCCGGAAAGCAAAATAAAAAAATAGCGAAATAACGAAATAATAAAAAGGCCATTTTTAAAGAGTAAATATTTACACACTTGTAAGTTCTTCCTGTTGACCTTTATGACTCTTTATCTCCTTTCGCACAACACTGGTCACGCTGGAGTATTTAAATGACGAGTAGCAATCGGAAAATACGACCCAGAGTCCAGAGTTCCAGAAAAAATGAAGCAATTGCAAGAGTATATCTGAGCCACCCACGGTATACAAGAAATACAATTTAGTCGAAGAACATAGACAACTTTCCCGGGGTATTTGAAACCGAAATTGTCATCAAACTGTAAGGCCGTCGCTGATTGGCTGCTGGGTTGGAATGACAATTTTTGGTTTCAAATATTCCAGGAAAGTGTTCTATGTTCTTCGTGTAATTGGAAATTAAAAAAAATCCTGGAGAGCTATTTTTGTGAATGCGGAAAGATGATGAGTCGTGTATCGTAATTAAAGCGCGGTCGTCGTCGCGCCGCGTCCTGTTCGATATGGGACTCATAGCGACGTATACAACGCGTGTTAAATACATTGTTTATTTACATGAAATTCGAACACCCGCTGCGCGACGACCACCGCGCTTTAACATAATGATATATACATGATGCTGATATTTATATTTCGTGGACGGATGAATGGTTTATGGTTATACCGGAAGTTACATACATGTTCTTTAAATACGAGTTCACTAAATGTTTGTTACTTCATAGTTAGATTCCTTTGTTTCACTGTTTGACCTGAGGTGAACTATTGGCTATTGCTATTGATGAAGAACTTCAGAATACGGTTCTAAGATATACAAAATGAAATGGAGAAACCGTATAATTAAATAAAGGAAGTAAATCATAAATAATTCTTATCATGATTCAAATATACATATCTCTCAATAGGTACAGAATATCGAGCAATACAACTCATAAATATATGGCAAATAACTTTAAAAATACATAAATAACAGAATGTAAACCGCGAAAAAAAGAATTGCCAGCCATTTTCACATCTGGTCAAATTGATTTTTCAAAAATGGTTAGGTGAAGTATTTATTAACATATATTTCACATATAATCAAAAATAAAAGTTCATTTTCACAATAATATTATAATATTTGAACAGTTCATATTCAATATTTATTTCACAGCACATTTACGTTTGCACACACATGGAATACAAATATATCCCCGATATGTATGGCACAGTGTCATATCTCCTGTCTTTGTTTGTTCTGTTCTCAGCTTTGGCAGAAGTTTATGGCTCCCAAAGACGTTAAACCCATGTTACTATCAACACTTAAAGATCTGAAACTTGAATACTTAGATCTGTATCTCATTCACAAACCAGTTCCCTACATGGTAAGCAACAATTTGATTTTAAGGTAACTTGAACCGAATTATCACAGTACTGACATTAGCAGTGCATTGTGAGAGATAACTTATATCATGCAAAATTAAATTCAAACTGAAAACTGACGAAACTTGTAAACGTTTCGAAATATTATTAACGATGTTAGCATTCACATCAATAATGATGCCATTGGCATGAATTAAGAACATTTTGTGCATAATTTGTATAGATTAGTCAGTTGTAGCTCAGTTCCAGTTTAGATTTAATATTTAATTAGCCAGTTTCCTGTAGTGTTTTATATTTTGTTATTAATTGTATTCACTGATGGTACTCGTAATGTACGATTAGATTTCAAGATGTTACTTGTATACATAATGTCTGACAAGTTAATACAAACGTGGCTGAGACGTATCATGAACTCAATATAGGTATTATAGGTAAACAACTATTGACCTGATTGACAAGAATCTGATCTTTGACCTTTTCAGGAATCGTAGCCATTATTATACACATAGTTGTCTTAATTTGTAGAATTTATTTTTAAATTTGTTTGTACAAGCTGTTTTAAACACAAACCTTTTCTTAGTGTTCAAATACTTCATTGCATTTGTGTATATGTTCACATTGGCATGAAACTATAAAATACTACATTGTTATACTAATATATTTACTAGAATCAAGGTGATATTATTCCAAAGAATGAAAATGGAGATGTTCTTTTCAATCATGATGTTCAGCATACTGACACGTGGAAGGTGAGTAAAATAGTAACAAAACCATTCCTAAAATTATTTTGATCACTACCCCCCCCCTCCATAGACACAAATATATCTTAATGTTAATTAAGAATAACGAGTTTGCTGGTGGTCATGTGATCTATTTTTTTTCAATTGTGGACATGTGTACACGTACACAAAGAACTCGAGAATGTATGGTATTTTTGTAAACCAGAACTGAATTAACAATAATGTAGTTGAATACCACATATATTCCAAACACCGATATAGCCATTTGTTCGTGTGGTTAGTAACATTGAATACAAGTCGCTAATACAAAGATCAGACGAAGAACAAAAGACGGAATGTTTTTTATGATACTTAGTTGGCATGGGAACGTAAGTATTTTGAAATAATCTGTTCAGGATTAAAATGGTAAAATTTGAAAGATGACTACTCTGATGTTTGGTACACAATTTAATCACTCATGAACTGAATAATATTGCTTGCAGGAAATGGAGAAGCTGGTCGACGAAGGTCTGGTCAAGTCCATCGGTGTGTCTAATTTCAACCACTATCAAGTACAAAACATTTTGGACCATTGCAGAGTTAAACCAGCTGTCATTCAAGTAAGCATTTTTTAGTTTTCAACACTGATTTATTTCGCCACTGCATAGCGCCCCCTATTGACGGGTTGATTAAATCGTCACATTTCAATGAAAGCATGTACGTACGCAATGCTCATAAACAATGCACATATCTGATTAGTTGTTCCACATATCCCAAGTATAAACAATGCACATATCTGATTAGTTGTTCCACATATCCCAAGTAAAAACAATGCACATATCTGATTAGTTGTTCCACATATCCCAAGTATAAACAATGCACATATCTGATTAGTTGTTCCACATATCCCAAGTATAAACAATGCACATATCTGATTAGTTGTTCCACATATCCCAAGTATAAACAATGCACATATCTGATTAGTTGTTCCACATATCCCAAGTATAAACAATGCACATATCTGATTAGTTGTTCCACATATCCCAAGTATAAACAATAATAATAATAATAATAATAACTCTATTTAATTAAGCGCAACAATTCCAACATATGAAGATCAAAGGCGCTGATACAATAAACAATCAGTCAAATATTAAAAGGACATTTAAATAAGTGCGTTTTCAGTCTGGATTTAAAAATGTCTACTGAAGGACTAGAACGAACAGACAGAGGTAATTCATTAAAAAGTTTAGGACCTAAATTTTCAAAAGCACGGTCTTTGTATAACACCTTGGACTTTTTACTACACATCTGACGAGTTTTAATAAGAAACTTCGATTCAGATCTTAAACTACGACTCGGTACATAAAATTCGATTAATTCACATAGATAATTTGGGGCAAAACCATACAAAGATTTATACACTAGTAAAAGTAATTTGAAATTGATTCTTTGTACAACTGGTAACCAATGAAGTTTAATAAAAATGTCTGTAATGTGGTCATATTTTCGAGCACGAGTGACAAGGCGGGCTGCTGCATTTTGTACACGAATAAGAGGTTTTATCTTAGTTACAGGGAGACCAGACAATAATGAATTACAGCTGTCTAAGCGAGAAGATATGAATGCATGTACCAACTTTTCAGTATCAGATTGGGATAATGATTTACGAATACGATTAATATTTCTTAGATGGGAATATCCAGATCTACAAATAGTAGAAATGTGTGTTTCCATAGATAGCTGCGAATCAAACAAGACACCTAAGTTTCTAGCACTTGACGAAGCACTAACCAATTCTTCACCAATTGCGATACTAGACAAAGGACACGAGTCTTGTGAGAATCTCCGAGACGACATGCACACAAATTCAGTTTTCGACACATTCAAAAGTAGGAAATTACAATACATCCAATCGCTAACATCTTGAATACATGTCTGAAGTATCACCCCGGCGCGAATTTGATCATCTTCAGAAACCGATAAATAAATCTGTGTGTCATCGGCGTAAAAATGATATTTTACGCCGTGACGTCGCAATAA